TGTTTCGACAGATGTGCTGTTAGACTTTAAATAAAAGTGTGTGATCCTCAAGTTGGTTTGGGTGAAGTGTGTGAGTGATTGAGAGCGGGTGTTCAGATTCTCTTAGACCTCCAGTTATAGACGGAGCAGGTGTTCTTGCTCAGGGTCGCCCTGTCAGGTGTGTGTGTGTGTGTGTGTGTGTGTGTGAAGCGCTGCTCACTGTGGATCAGCTCAGTGTAAACAGCAGAGTCTGGAGACTTTGAGTTTTTAAATATTTCCCAGATGATGTTGAACAGATTGAGGAAATGTTCACAGTGTGTCTGATAGTATTTGTTCTTCTGGAGAAAGTCTGATTTGTTTTATTTTGGCAAGAATAAAAGCAGTTTTTAATTTTTTAAACACTATTTTAAGGTCAATATTATTAACTATTTGTTTTCGATAGTCTACAGAACAAACCATCATTATACAATAACCTGCCTAGTTACCAGAGAGAGAGCTAGAGAGAGAGAGGGATTTGCACTCGTGATATCTTTACTGAGACCATCACTGTGCCTCTTGCAATCTCTTCTCTTGCTCATTCACTCACGTCAACATGATTTCTGGGTGTTTTAATTCATATTTGGGATGAATTCCGGTATGAATTTGTGGTAGACACGGATGAAATCAGCACGCAAGCAAAGAGATTCACATGCTCATATTACATTAATGCCATCTCATCTTGTAATACTGCGCTCACGACATTTGTCGTTGAAATAAGGCCATATGTAGTCGGTAGATCTGTGTGAAAGGCTGCCGCCACAGCTGGAAAACACTGCATAGGCCTGTTATCTGTGGAGCGCTGGATTTGAGGAAGCCTGATATTTTTATTTAACAGAAAAAAAAGCATATGATGGGGAAGAAACGCCGCTTCTTAAAGAGGATCAGTCTGTGTTTTTGTTTTGTAATCTAAGTTTGTCGTGTAAGTGAAGATGTCTATGGCAGGACTGTTCATTTGACTTTTTATTGGGTTTGTTCTGTTTTTCTGTGCTGTTGGAAACACTGCAGTGTTCTGTATGCTGCTGTTCACATGTTGAAGTAAATCAGAGTTTTAAACTGCAATATTTAATGTGTCACATAAAATAGACACGTTACTTATTATTATTATTATTATTATTATTAATAAATGATTTAATATTATTCTGACCAGTCGACCGTTAATATTCGGTTAGCGAGTGGCGGTTGTCGGTTGGCAAAATGAACCGAAATGCGCATCCCTATTCAGATATAAGTGTACATAATCATTATTTCAATATATTTAGCACAAAAGATAACTCTGACTCAGAAATTCTTTAAAGACTAACTGAAACATGTATACATGCGCCTTTACTCACAGCTGATTGGTCCACAACCTCTGACCAGAATAAAGGTTATCATGGAGATGAGACCTGATCAAAACCAATCAGCTCAAACTAAACCCATCACTGTGTGTGTGTGTGTGTGTGTGTGTGTGTGTGTGTGTGTGTGTGTGTGTGTGTGTGTGTGTGTGTGTGTGTGTGTGTGTGTTTGCAGAATGAGCAGCAGTTGGACTGTGCGCTGGATCTGATGAGGCGTCTGCCTCCACAACAGATTGAGAAGAACCTCAGCGACCTCATCGACCTGGTCAGTGTGTGTGTGTGTCACTGTGAGTGTGTGTCAGTGAGAGAGTGTGTTTGCGTATGAGAGCGTGTGTGTGTGTGTGTGTGTGTCTGTCTGTCTGTCTATCTGTGTGTAGTAGAGTGTGTGTGTGAACTGTGAAGGCGTAACTGGGTGTGTGACTGTATGTGTGTGTGTGTGTGTGTGTGAGAGAGAGAGAGCAACAGCTTATCTGAGAGTGTGTTTATGAGAGAAACTGTGTGTGAAAGAGTGTATGTGAGTGTGTGTGTGTAAGTTGTTATCAGTTATTAGCGTGTGTGTCCGTCACGCAGCAGGACTGAGCAGCGGTCAGATGGTTCTCATGGATTTTGACCTTCACACGGGTTACAGGAGGAAGTGTGTGTGTGTGATGGTTCAATATTGAGTGTCTGACAAACTCGTGCAGGAATTCACTTCCTGTGTGTGTGTGTGTGTGTGTGTGTGTGTGTGTGTGTGTGTGTGTGTGTGTGTGTGTGTGTTCAGGTGCCCAGTCTGTGTGAGGACCTGCTGTCGTCGGTGGATCAGCCGCTGAAGATTGCGCGTGATAAAGTGGTCGGTAAAGATTATCTGCTGTGTGATTATAACCGCGACGGCGACTCCTACAGGTCAGACACGCTCACTACACACACACACACACACTAAACTACTCAAAACAGATTAAACATTTAAATAGACATTATTTGTGTCATGCACGCATTTAACATCTCAATATAAATAAAACCATCCTCAAATATGTGCTTACCTGTGTGTGTTGAGATGTGTATATATACATAAGTACATACACACACACACACGCACAGACACACACACACGCGTATTATGCCAAAGCAAACGTTTGTTTTGGATGCAATTTATTATTAATAGTATTAATATTTAGTAATATTCTAATACTGTAGTGTGTGTGTGTGTGTGTGTGTGTGTGTTCAGATCTCCATGGAGTAATAAGTACGAGCCGCCGATTGATGATGGAGCGATGCCGTCTGCTCGCCTGAGGAAGCTGGAGGTGGAGGCCAACAACGCCTTCGACCAGTACAGAGACCTGTGAGTAGCCAGCCCCGCCCCCACTGCACACTTATTGGCCATGCCGATGACTGACAGCTCTGCTCCGCCCACAGGTACTTCGAGGGCGGGGTCTCGTCCGTCTACCTGTGGGATCTGGACCACGGGTTCGCCGGCGTCATCCTCATCAAGAAGGCTGGAGACGGCTCCAAGAAGATCAAGGGCTGCTGGGACTCCATCCACGTGGTGGAGGTGCAGGTGGGCGGAGAGGAAGTGATGTCACAGCACTGAGCGCATTTATCCAGTTACTGGGGGACTGATGATGATGATGATGATGATGATGATGATGAGCGGGGGTTTATTAATGTGTGTTTCAGGAGAAGTCGAGCGGCCGCACAGCTCACTATAAGCTCACATCTACTGTCATGCTGTGGCTGCAAACCACCAAAACCGGCTCTGGAACCATGAACCTTGGCGGCAGCCTCACCCGACAGGTCACACACACTATAAATATATATCTCAAACACACACACCCTAACACACATATATAACAATAAGCATACACTTATACATGCATATACACACTCATACACATAGCAAACACACACACACACACACACACACTCTCACACGCACACACATACACATGCACACTCACAAACACACCAAACCACACACA